TGCGTAGTTGTCACCACGAGCATAGTCAACAGTACTAACTGCACCGAGTGCGCGGGTTATGAATACCTACAGACGATGTGATCTTGTTTCGCTTGCGCGTGGCGGACGGCTCACCGTCACGTTGCCGTCGGCGCGCCGCCGACGCGCAGCCGGCTCGTCATACGGCATACGATTTAAATGACAATTTAATTGCAGGGTTGGAACTGTGCTTATTAGATGTGCAAAGGCCTTTAATGTAAACAGATGAACATTAATGTCTGACATTTATGTCAGAATTTGTGTCGCAGTCTATTTTGACTTTAGGTTTTAGTTTCTCCTACAGATATTGAAATAGGTTCAATGTCCACACCTATAGAAAGTGGCAAAAAGCTCGTCCTCTATCATGGGACCTATAAAATAGTCGAATAAATTACCTTTAAATAATTCTTTTTCATAAGACAAATAACTTAAATTCATTATCTGGCAGTAACCCCCAAAATGTATTGGTATCAATTTAAAAACTGAGGCATTGAGGTCCTTCTAGTAGGTATAATCAATACAGTTTCGACTTCTCCAGAAGGCACACTATATATATAAATATCTACAAATATTGCCATTAAGTGTTGACACAGAGAGTATGTACCGTGAAATATTTACTGTGTTTAAGTGATTATTAAGTACAATAACTACGTAGGTAAGCAGATTGATTTTATAGTTATTTATTTTGTACTTTGATCAAGAACGCATTTCTATATACCTAATTATCTCGACAGTAAAAAAAATATGTAATTCAGTGTGTGTTATTAATTATGACAAAAAAGCTTTACATGAAGAGGAGTGGAAGAAGGGTAAGAAGGCCATGCAGTGGGACGACTATGATTGAAATAATATGAAATAATAAATAAAAACTATGACAGCCCATTTTTAACTATCTTCCTTCCTTCCTAGTCGTCTTCTTCATTACTGAAGGTCGTGTCTAGTCTGGTGCACGCGTCACTTGATGCACAACCCTCCTCCAAACGCCCCTGTCCTCTGCGGTCTTTATGGCTTGTGGAACTGTCAGGCCGGTTAGGTTTTTTACAGCATCCAACCACCGGGTAGGTGAGCGACCACGAGGTCTTTTCCCGTTAACCCGACCAACAACCACAAGCTTCTCCAGATTGTTGGGGTCTCTACGCGCAATGTGGCCAAAATAAGTTAATATTCGCTGCAGGCATACGGTGGACAGCCTCGTAGTAATTCCGATCTCCTTGAGAATGGAGACGTTGGTGCGACGAGCGGTCCAGGGAATACGGAGCATACGTCTCCAGCACCACATTTCGAAGGCGTCAATTTTTGCTCTCTCAGTTTTCCTTAGGGTCCAGGATTCGGCGCCATACAAGAAAATGGAGAAAACCAACGCACGCATCAGCCTCACTTTGGTCTTGCGACATATATTTCGGTCCTTCCATATCTTGGTGAGTTTCGTCATTGCTGATTTGGACATCTGGATTCTCCTTCTGATCTCTCCGTCGCTGCCACCCCCACCATCGATAAGAGAGCCCAGATAAATAAACCGATCCACAAACTCCAAGTCTCTGAGTTCATGTGAGCGAGTGCATGTCCCCATTCTGTCCACAACGAGCACCTTGGTCTTGTTTTTATTTATGGTGAGACCAACCAGTTCGCTCTCCTTCTCTACTCTTGCAATCAACTCAGCCATCTCGCTCTCGGACGATGCAAACAAGGTAGTATCGTCCGCATACCTTAGATTGCTGATTCTCCTGCCACCAACAGACAGCCCACGCTCCCACCCCTCCAGAGCTCGTCTCATTATGTATTCCCCATATATATTAAAGAGAATGGGAGACAGGATACAGCCCTGCCGGACTCCCCTCCGAGGCCTAAATGGATGCGACAGGACGCTGTTTACTTTCACCACGGTGCTTCCATCCCTGTAAAGATTAGCAATAAGAGCCACAAGGTGTTTCGGTACTCCCATTTCCCCCAGGATTTTCCACAGGCATTCCCATCTTACACAGTCAAAGGCTTTTGAGTAATCGACGAAGCACATGAACATTGGGATGTTGAATTCGCGACATTTTTCTATGATTTGCCTGATGTTTGCGATCTGTTCTCTAGTGCCTCGTCCCTTTACGAATCCTGCCTGCTCCACTGGAATCTGCCACTGCAGAAATGCCTTAAGACGCTCATTAACTACGTACAGAAGAACCTTACTAACATGAGAAATGAGCGCCACGGTTCTGTAGTTTCCGCAGGACTTCGTAGATCCCTTCTTATGTAGTGGAATCAGTACGGATTCCCTCCACTCCTTAGGCCAGCAACCAGTCCTCCATATCTGATTGCATAGATTTTGCAGAAAATTGTCTATGAAACTATCTTCAACACCACCTTTACAGTAGATGTTTCACATTATTATGTAGTTTTGCACTTTTTAACGCGATAACAAATGACTCAATCAAAAACCAAAGGTCTGATGAGAATACAATAAGGAATTTCATGTTAAAAAACGTATAATACATAAACATCTATGATGTACATTGTACACGTGTATGTATTTTATTACCTCGCGTGATAAACACCAGTCATTTTCTTTCTTTAATAATTGAGGCTAAACGTAAAAGTCATTAATCAGGCTAATCTGTATATTGAACTCGTTTAAATTTTATGAATGAGAATAACTAATCAACGGCAAAGGTTAGGTTGTGGGAAACAATAAAAAATAAACGAGGTTTTTGTTGTTTTGTTGGACAAATTATTGTTAATCGAATTCCTTTTTCAAGTGTAAAGGGTAGGGCTTACTAATTGGGTCCCCGAAAATAGTATTGTGTTAATCTATTGTTATGAACTGAAAAGGTATACACACATACAAGCATGTACCGCAGTTTGATGATGAAGTTGATAGAATACAATGATTTTCTATTTTCTGAAGTTCAATTATTAAAAATTTCTCTTTAAATTCGCTTCATATTAATAGGGCAATAATTTCTTTACCATAACGATAGGACGCTTTGGGTCATAGGATGTTAAAATATCACATATTTTTATATAGAAAAGAGACGTAAAATAATCTTTTTGTTGAGAAAAATGTCTCAAGCAAAATATCATCCATTTGAAGAATTTGCAAATCATTCACACGTATAGCACGTCATAGGAACGCCGTACCCTCGCTTCCTGGGACAACTAAGTTCCCATAACTTCCCCGTACACGATGAAACGTGACTATTACACGCAGCAGAGCTTAGTACGGCCGCTTTGGAGATGTCAGGTCAAGGTTAGAATTGGGGTACCAAGTGCACTGAATGTAGGTAAGGGTAATTATTCCATCTCCAGTCCTTTGTTTCGAACCATTTCTACTGATTCACCCTAAAGTTGAATATAAAAGTTTGTCCTACTGTTTACATGTTCTGAGTAGTTGTTTACATAAACGATTAATGTTTAGTGAAATGTGGTTTCTTAAGGTTTTCATTATATGCTAGATGGCGGCAGTGCCGTTTTTAATCGTCTAAAAAAAAACTTTGTAGTTTTTTAATGCCAAATACTTCTTATTTATAATTCTATATTAGAAAAGTTTCAGCAGTGAAACTAAGGGATGCAAAAAACTTCAACAAACCGAAGTTTGTTAAGTTTACGTTTCGCACCAAACTTAAGTTATACTGCACTAACTAGCGCCTAACAAGAATATCACAACAACATGTCGCATACATAACACAAAATATTATTTGAGAAAAGGAGAGTATTGCAAATGTTCGTCGGGAAACCACTTCTTGAGAATCTTATCAAGATAATAAGATAGGTAGAATCCTGAAATATTCTTGGAAAATATATTTATTCGTCTCGCTATGCGCCTGTTAATTTACAATATTTTGTTGTGGTGTTGTCTGTAAAACAACATGGCAATGTTTATTATTGATAGTCGACCGCTTTTTCGAAAAACATCTATTTCGATATGGGTAGACATTGTTGTATATTTTAAAGTTAATTGATGTTTGTTATAAATGTCAAATCTTTATGAATGAATTGCGGCTACAGTAATAGGGTAGATGATTTATTTTTATTTTAATGTCCGTTTGGAAACGAATAGTTTAGTTTAGTAACGAAAGATATATAGGTTTGAAATATCGCATGACGTCAGTTTTGAGTACGATTTGTACTCTAAAATGACGTAGCTACACACTCCTAAACTTTAATTCGTTTTATCTAAGTATTGTTTATATTTATACGACAAAATAAAAAAAAAATACGTGTCTAATATTTTTTCATTACCTGATTGACGGACTTCTTAGATTTTTAATTTTCATACCCTGTCATTATCATTATTCTAGAAATGTGGTTAACAAGCGTTGTATGTTCACATTCTAAAATTAATTGAGTGTGAATTGCTCACAAAATGCCATCATCTGATCATTAACGTTTTTTAAGCTCTGATCAAGTAATTTGTGTATATAATAAATTAATTAATTTAAAAAGAACCATTTGGAAAGCACACTACCGTATTCTATGAGTTTATCACTATTAGACTGACTGATGTAGCATGGTTATACCTAGTGGCCCAATTTTTTTACCAGTGCCATTGAGACTCTAGATAATAGGTGTTTTCCACTATATACTTCTGAAAATTGATACAATCATTGTTTAAAATTCATGTTAATGAATGTAACTGTATGTATGTATCAATTTCCATTTTTATTCAACCTAAAAAGGATGATGGGCAAACATATATGGGAAATGTACCTACCGGCCAATAACGACCAGACGTATGTCGTTAGAAACCTCTTCTCAAGACTATTATTTGTTATTATGGGGCTAGTTTCAATTCGTTGTGAGGAAAACGTATGGAGTCTGGACTCACCCCTGAATAACAACATGTGTTTGCAAGGCTTTCAGATTCCGTCAATTAAGTTCATCCCTCCAATATGTTTTTGTTCTAGTTTCATTTCCATAAAACAACAATCTCCTTTGTCAACATTCATTAACATCAATTAAACAACATTATTATACATTTTTTTCTTTCTTTTCAGATACAATGGCGACAGTAACAATTTTACTGGCGTTAGCGCTATGTTATGCTGCCGAGGGCATTCACCTTAGCTACCGACCATCAACATCGCAACTGTTCCTGCAAACCACACCGAGTTTGCACATAACTGGACCTGCAGCCACTTTCGCGAGGGTTGCAGCATTTGGCCCCCAAACTGAAAGACGGCGTGTCACTGGATTTGGGTATGTTTAAAAGACAAAAGCGATATCCCATGACTTTCCTAATAGCCATTTATATTATGTGTATAATAGCTTGAGTATTCGTATTCATCTTACCACCATACTCAGAGACATTTATTTGTTACTTAAACTAGTGTTTAGAAATTGTTTTCGGAAAAAAATCATTTTTAAATAATAGTTTACGTAATCATAAAAGTTTCTGGGTATGGCAGTAAGTGCCTTTTCATACGTTCCGATTGCCAGGTAGCCGGCGCCGGGTACCCGGCTGGGCAGTGTATGGCCATTTACTGTAGCTTTCACATCGCTGGATAACCGGTGCCGGCTACCCGGCAACTGAAACGTGTGAAAAGGCACTAAGAGGTGACATGAGAAATCGTATTACTACCAGTTTCTGAAGGACTTATCATAATAAACGTTATTTGAATAAACTAGATAAGCTACCTCTATAACTAAAGTAAATAGAAGAATTTATGAACATGAGTATTTTGCTGACAGTTTCATTAGTGGTAGTTTATAAAGCAGTTAATCAAATCTTTTAGGAACTGGGAGACACTAATAGAGGTTTATGTTTAAATTGCTGTTTCATGTTTAAAGAGACAAGACAATTTGTTTACTTGAAGGAAAGTAGTTTGGAAGTACCATTTCCTGAGACTAATAAATATTTTGGATCTTACGGGGTTATGGTGAATACGAGTAGGCCTTAAATGGTTTTCTTCCATTGTTGTCTATGACAACAGAAAATGTCAAACTGATTTAATGAAGTTTGAAACTTTATACCACCTTCTATTTACATTCATGTATCATATTAAGCTAAGCCTCTCATATCTATAATATTATAATATATCTATAATATTATAGAAATGCTTTTGTCCTTTCATTATGGATAAACACATCACACACACACACACACACACACACACACCACACACACACACACATACTCATACACGTAACTATATATAGTTATCATTTTACATTTAAGTATATATTTATTACATAGTATTGCCATTTTTATCTTTTATGTATTATAATAAGTCTGTAAGTTTCATTGATTGTTTAATTTGTTTTTTATTGTTTTTCTTCTATTTTGGTTTTCTTTTATTGTGCATCTACCACCCATTCCCAGATTCTTTTCAAAAATTCCATCGAAAGGTTGTCTGGAAGAAATCGCCGCGTGTGATAAGACCGCCCATTGTACTCAAATTACTATTGAAATGTTTACAATTTTTCTATGTGTGCAATAAAGTATATATAAATAAATAAATAAAATCTATGAGATTATCCTTTACTTTATACTGCATGAAAAATATTTCATTATTATACCACAAATGCATAATGAAGAATTAAAACTGACAGAATGTAAATACAAGGTTTATAATTTTGCTTAATTGATTTAATTGTAAACCAGTAATTTTAACATTTTCTTCACGATTTCCATTGTTAGCTAGCTTGTTCGCTAAAACAGGCTTTGTCTAGAAAAATACTAAGTAGCTATATTAAGCTTTAAGTTAAACTTGCTCGAAATGTGACAAATTTTCCTGTACAGTGTAATTGAAATTCTCTATTCTAAACTATGACAGTACCAAGCATGAATTTATAATTTTCATTTCGCAATATTTAATTAGAATCCTTCGTTGTCACTTAGGTGTATTTTAGCACTGTGTCCGCAAGTAAATTGTGTTGTAAAAATAAACTAATTACAAATGTTTATTTGTAACTATGTATGTATATGTAGTATTTAATTGATTTTCTCGCAATTCAAAATTACATATTTCATGTAAGTACCTTATAATTTTGTATTTTGGAGTTCTGTTCTCTCTAGAAACGAATCTAAACGCATAAAAATAGTCATGGAGAAGTGTAGCTGTAAAAGAAACTCACAACAGTGTTAAACTTTTATACCTACTATTGTCTCACTGCATCACCCTAAGGTTGACTGTTAGGGAATACCACTAGGCATTAAGTCTGCCATTGTATACAATTGCAAGAAGTGTAAATAAATAAAAATAAATAAATAAAATTCAACACCAGACTTCTAGGGTAATTCATAAGTCCGCAAGGTAACTTACATAGACATAGTCCTTGTATATAATATAATAATGTACATACTTAGTAAAACTATGCCTAATTCATGTTAGGTGAACCTAAGTGATATTCTTCTCTGCTCTGAACATAGCAGTTGTGAATAATATTCTATCTTCTCTTTTATTGTTAACGGACTACTGAACTTTAGTCTGATTTATGTACAGACAACAGCTCATCAAGTTATTCTAAATTGTCAATTTTCTTTGTTAGATTTTCAATTTTGATTCCCTTGGTGTAAAGGGGTTTTATTCCGTAGTCGGGCAAAGGATTAAACTGGGATTTTTTAGTTTTATGAAAAAACTCAGTAATAACATGAAGCCTGGATTAGAGCCAGTACCTATATAGCTGATTACCTAGAACGTTTATATATCTTATCTAAAAAAAATGATTTGTGCAATATGTACCTTTGCCATCCTTCTGTGGAAATGAAAATACTAGTTTTACAGTCCAAAATCTATTACACTAACTGCCAACAGATAACTGTAGAAGGCAATTCTTTCGTTAAGCATCTGTCATCAGTGACCGATACGTGTTAAAAAACTTTGACCTCTTAAATAGCTTGACGTGCTGTTGGCATCTATGTTTGCACCTGCACAGTAGGCTAAAGATCTATGTGTTGCACCTTATAAAATACTTCCACTGATTCTGTCTACAGCCCGACACCTGATGCAGCCTTCTTCGGACCAACTACAAGGTTATTTGTTGTTTATGTTTTTGATTAACTTAACTAATGACTAATAATGTGTGATGCTTCAAACTAACCGATTGTTGAACTAACAAATAACTTGTATGCACTTGGTTTTTTAATTATAAGTTTTATTTTATATGTCCTTAATTATATTTTAGAATACTATTTAATTATGTTTATCATTATCACAAATAAAGCTTTAGGACTTGGCTTGGGTTCGATTCCTAGGTTCAGAAAAATGTGATTGGGTTTTCCGATTTTCATAATTCATTTCATTAGATTAGGAAAAGTGAACAGTAAGTATATTTTCAACTCTTCCTTTAGATAAAATATAATGAGTGTGATTTATTGTGTGTGTTTGTATGTGTGACTTTTATCCTTTTAAAGTATATGATATATGAAAATATGTGTTTTTATTACAATATCTTTACAACTTAAAAGTATTAAATAGAGGAGTCTTCTTTATTTTTATTATGTACGTGTAGGTATGTACGTCCGGAAAATGTGTACTCATTGAACAATATTTTCTTTTATCATAGGCACGAGTTTTCTTAGAAGACATGTTTTGTAGCTTATTTATGGTTTCTTGGAACTGCAAATGTAAAAACACCAATACACGTTCCTATTCTACTTTTATGTAATTTGTTCAAAGGTTCTTGTAATAAAACTTATTATTTATTTACTTGTAAATAGACATTCATTGATTGATAGTCTTTCACGAATTTTGCATGATTTTTCTCACGTTTTTTTTGTTTACAGTATAATTAATATACATAGGTATAAGTATGTACAGTGAGCGACAGGTAAACCTTCTCCTCTCTCTTTCAAATATTTTTATTACATTTTCAACTTTATAATATGGAAATAACGTTGAAAATCTAATGAAAATGTTGGCAGACTTGGAATATGTCGACCTATCTAAAACAAAAACCTAATACGTTTTTTTCTACACAGTTTTAGCAATCCTCCTCCTCCACCTGGTGCGGACCAGGACCCAGCTTCTCAAACTTGTGGACTTGCACCTCCATTCTGCACGAAGTCGCGTTACAGAAGCATTGATGGTACCTGCAACAACCTCGAAAGACCTCATTGGGGTATACCTAACACGCCTTTTGGTCGAATCGCGCCTGTTAACTACGATGATGGTACGTATGATGCACGAATTCAAACTTTTATCAATTGGCTACTTCCCTACAACTCTTTTTCGGAGCGCTTACCGTAATGACCTATCCAACACAAATATTTTGCAATTCAAACCAGTAGTTCAGATGTAATTAGTACTTTGAACTTATCATCGGAACATACGAATTCTTTAGCTTTAATAATTTGAATAGCTTACGATCCGATTTTAGTACCGTTAAATTCGGTAGAAAAAGAAAGAAAGTCAAGTGGTATTTTATTTAATGTCCAACTGTTCTAGAGGTAATGTTCGTTTTAAAATTGTATTCGTATCTGTAAGGAAGTTGTATTATTAATCCCCAAGGGAGTAGAGGCACAACTTACAACGAAATACTTATTTCTTACCACTCCTTGCGTCGTCAACCAGATCAATAAAGGTGATATACTTGGCCTGACTAAGAAACCGAGCCCTAATCTTCTTCCTCAGCTGTTGCGCTTAAGACCACTCGATCAACGAAGCAGTCATATAAGGTTATTTCCATAACATCAATTGACTAAACTCATGTTACGTCTGATATACGAGTGAGTGAAAGGTCACCAGGTCGGTGCTCGGAACATGTAAATTGTCTAAATTGCTCACGTTCCACACATTTACATAATACCTAATTCGTCACTAACATAGTTGCATCTGCCCACTTAATCTACAAATTTATCTCAAGAGCAATTTTGAAGAGAATTGATCCCACTATTATTGTCAGCTTTTCAGAGACTAGACATTTTTTATTATAGCCTTTAAGGCTTTTAAGGACTTTTACTTTTTGTTTTGGCAATTTAATATTAGTTACGGATTATAATGATTTATTATACTGTTAATGCTTGGTTTGTTTGCGTATGCTTCCCGCTCGTAATAAATATGAGTATTATCTGCTGCTACTTTTTTATGCCTAGATAAAATCCTTGAGTAGGACAAAATTAACAATCTACATTTAATTCAACTGTTCTGTCGTCGGTGGTGTTTCCAAACCGATACGACCTTCTTCAAGAAAGATATTCCTTTTTAAAAGGCCGGCAACGCACCTGTTACTCCTCTGGTGTTGCAGGTGTTCATGGGCGGCTCTGATCGCTCATTATCAGGTGATCTATCTGTTTATTCGCGTCCTACTCCATAAAAAGCATTCTGAGAAAATATTATTGGCCTAAATATTTTTATTAAGAATTTATTACGCGTACAAAGCTTTAATAATTTTCAAATTATATTAATATCGATATTATGTTAGAAAACAATAACGGCACTGATTAAAATCGAGATAACGTTGAAGGTTATTAAAGACACAATGAAGCAAATAATTACAAACAGTAATAATTTATGTAGATATATATACAATACATTCAAATTGATCAAGTTGCTTTGAGATAATACGTAATTTGAATTCTCACTATTTATGCATACCTGCTATAATATATTATATGTATATTAGTAGTATTGGAGGTTGTTTGTATACTGACATATACATACAAAATAGGTTTAGAGATTGATATCTCAAAATACGGGAGCAACTTTGTGCGTAGTACGTTTGCTACGCTCGTAGTACGTGTGCTACGACGTAATTCGTGCGCTACGAGCGTAGTATATATACTACGAGCGTAGTAAATCTACTACGCATCGCGAATTATTCAATGATTAGGTCAAACGTTGTCTGTGTATTTTATTATACTATTTTCCTTAATACTAAGAGTTATTTGTTAGCTATTTGTTGCAGTAATATTAACAATGCTAGCACATTTTGTTTATAACACTAAGTCTTCTAGTTCAAACAAATGGTTATTAGTTTTTCTATTTCATTTCTAATAATGTAACTTCCTTATTTTTATTATTATATTCAATCAATGGAAATTGGCGACATTTTCCTTAAGAAGGTGACGTTTTGATAAATGATTGTGACGCTCAGCAATTAATATTTTGCACGCTTATCTGTACATAAAGATAATATGTTAATGTAGGCCTAATGGCACAGGATGCGAACAGGGTGAAGGGATGGGATTTATGGGGGTAAAATATTCCCATAAGGTAGCGAGCGGGTGTGCTATATATTTGTATGAGAAGTTCGAGAAATATTATTCCTAATTTCATGTCGAATGTAATTGATAAAGGTTAACATTCTCGTATCTTCACCAATATCTAATCCATGTTTTTTTCTGTCTTTTAAATGATTTATTATGTTTTGACAAAAGAAGAAAATATTATATTTAGGTCTCCAGAACTTCGATCAACAATAACAACTAGATATCGGGTCGGCGCAAGAAAATCGTCTCGACAAATAAGAGCTCACTTGAGAAGTGAGCTCTTATTTTGTTTAGTATGCTCCAAACACGGCCAATGTACTCACGTCTCACGAGTAATTGCAAGTTGCAAAAATAACAACCGAAAAAGCAGTATAACGGCCGGAGTGTCTTACTTTTGATAAGTACATAAAGTATAAGTTATATTTTAAGCTTTTAAACTAGTAAATAATATCAAATTAGACAAAATTATCAATTATAAACCAACGCCACCAATGTTTGTGCGTGTGTTGGCGATTCCTTGGCCAAGTCTCGCCAACATTTGTATAAACAGAACAGTGGATGCATGGAGTCGATTTGTATTGAAAAAATAAAATTGTATTGTTTCTTGCTCGTTCTTCTCCATAGGAATCTACACCTTGGAATGAGCAAATAGCTTCATTTTTGTATAATGTTGACGTTCAAAAGTGCCTTCCTGGTATAACTGAAATAACTGATTTTGACTTAGACTTAGACTTTTAATGATAAAGTAAATAAACATATCATACACAAAAACGTACCGCTAATAAAAATTAGTGATGTATACTAAGATCCCGAAATCTTAATTTTCATATTATAAAATTATTTTACTGTCCAACGCGACTCCATACATACCTCCTGTAGCGAAATTCGAAATTTGAAGAAGCAAAACGAAACAAAACAAAACGATATAAATCGCAAGACAATAATGGAAAAATTATCTTTATTTGTTCGACCTTAAGGTTGAATTCAAACTAGATATTGTTTAACTTATGTCTTTTAATTTCTACATGACAGGAGTAAGAAAATACTTTTCTTGTCTTATGTAACGAATGGTCGTAAGTATTAGATAATATTTTGACGATTTATGACTTTATTATTAGGTGCCATGGTTGTTATTAGGTTGAACTTAAAACTATTTTAAAACATTTATCTCTGTTTGTTATTTTTTTACTATTATTATTCACACGGACAAAACTGGAGCTTGATTTTGTACGTAACCCTTTATCTAGTTGTTATTGTTGATCGAAGCTCCAGAAGTTTATTATTTATTGTAGTTATTTTGTTTTGGTTTGCAGGTGTGAGTGCCATAAAGACCCTTTCGAAGACCGGCCGACCTCTGCCGAATTCCCGTGAACTTAGTCTACAGCTGTTCCCTGACCTGCAGATCATTGACCCCGTATGGACCCTAAACACACAACAATGGGGACAAATTGTAACCCACGACATGGCACTATCAGCTGGCGAAGTACAAGCTCGTAAGTTTCCAGTTTCCTAAGTTTTTGTTACGGGACAAGATCAAAACTATGTCACAGTACATAGTTTTGATCTTGTTCTTACACATTTGTACAATCAACTAAAGTTTTGGTATTTATGCTGAATATTATTGCATGAAAATGACTGAGAGTCAAGATAGTATAGATAATATAGTAGTAGTATTTTGCAGTACGGTAAAATGGGGTGATTAGGGATCGAGAGGTGAATAGAGACAGAAGAGGGATGAATGGATACTATGAAGAATTTTCCAATATCTATTCACCCCTCTTTGTCTCTATTTACCTCTCGATCCCTATCCACCCCATTTTACGGTACTTGTATTCGTACGTGCAGTAGGTATTTCATTTTTTTTGACAGATATAGAAAGTGTTAGCTAAATTAACTTGTTTGTAGACGTTTTTATCATATTTTAAGAAAGTATGAATAACACTCTTTAGTGTCTCTGTTTTACACGATACGTCATATTCGGAGACGTTTAGATTTTTAATCTTTATGTTACTAAATTGTACGTTTTTTTTCCTACAGCGGATTTCAATCCACCGAGTAAGTTTGAATGTGTATGTGTAACTAAAACCATTGTTGTGTTACATCACCAGTCTATAACATTTATGTGTATCATTAACATCTTACACTATGTGTGTTTAAATATCCTTCATTATAGCATGTGTTCGTAAAATCATTTGAAGTAGAATTTTCTTCTAGACCTGTATAATAGATCAAGTAGGTAGTTACTCCATTTCTTTTTCTTTTCTTATCTGCTGCTGCTATCCAAGCTATGCTAAAATTTTGTGAACCATGCCATTTAAATATTTATTTTATTGTTATTAAATCTCAAAAAAAAACAAAGCTGTCCTCTATCTCATTTAGAAATCTCGAAGCCATAATGTGTGTTTCTCGTAAATTACTAATTTATTTATGTGGTATATTAACTCGTCGAGTACCGGTTTTGTAGACACAATTATAGAACAATAGGTTGCGGTCACCGGTGACCGCTTGGTGTTTGACAGTTTAAATAAACTATATG